TTACAAAAAACTTTATTTTATTTTGTTGAAAAAAAAACATATTGAGAGACTCAGAGATTATAGAAGTGTTTAGGTCTGCTTTCTCGTGTTTTCCACGGTTCAATTTGTTTCAATACAACTATACGTAATGACGAAACTGGTTCCTGTATGGTGATATTTTAAAACGAAACCGGCTCCTAAACATTAAAGAAACCGGGGCTCCTTCCATTTTTACATGATTTCTTTCGTTCTGTGGGTGGTAATAATTTATATTTAAATGCAAAAAGTGACCAATCTTGTAATCTCCATTTCTATCTTGCTCCTTCTATGCCTTTCTGTCCATAACGATGTGCTGAGTTTAAAGAGAAACCAATTCAGGCTCGCGGTCACTGGTCATCGTTTTGCAGCGCGTTCATTTGTTTCTTATTGTCGTTATTATTCTAGAACAAGTGTGGAAAATGTTAACCCCCCCCCCCTTTTCCTCACAGACGAAAATAGTTAAATAACCATTTTTTCTACAATTTTATACAATAAGTAAATGTGTTGTGTTGCTGTTTGATGGTCAGTAGCTGTACTGGAAGTTAGATATTTATTAGGTAGTTCGGATACAGTGGGTTTTTTTTCACCAGAAAAGACCTCGTAAGAATTGAAAGTACTTCATTATTTTTCATTTCCTGTAACTAACTTTAGTAACGCAGTTTGCTATTGTTTACATGTTACATGCCTCTATACCGTATTGGCACAAGAGTAAGCAATGTATCACAAAATTGTGTAGAAAGGGAGATAACAATTATATACTCAGGTTATTATTTCAACAAAATTAATTTTACCGAATTAACACAGTTTTGCTATCATTATACAGAGTGGAGTTATCTTTCTTTCGACTAGGTCTCCTCTCACATAATGTTTATCTTAATTAAATTTAAACATCTACTTATTTGTATGAAATTGTAAAATAAAAATGCTTATTTGACTATTTTCAATTCATTTTATAAACTTTTACAATATTTCGTGGATGTAAGCAAATATACATAAAGGTCACCATACGGCCTTCATCGATGATCAAAACCCATACCGTATAGTCATTTCTGAGGGGTCCCGAAATAACAAACTGAGAAAGAAATTAAAACAGGAAATATCAGGCCGATATTTTAAAAAACATTAAACGAAAAACAAATATGATAGACAACAACAAACTACGACAACAGAATTACGGGCTCCTGACTTGGGACAGGCACATACAGATGTGGCGGGTGAGGTTAAACATGTTTTTGAGCACTAAACCCTCTCCTAGCCTGGGACAGTGGTGTAACATCACAACATAATAAAAACTGTAAACATCAGTTGAAAAGGGCTTGACTCAAATGATTGACATGATGCACTAAAAAAACGACTAACATCAAAACAAGAGATATAAGGGTATTTGCAGTTACTGATAGCAAACTTACCTTTTCAATTGTTTTTATTGTATGACAGTATGCAGGGTTGTGCTGACTAATTATATAATGTTTTTATTGTATGACAGTATGCAGGATTGTGCTGACTAATTAATGTAAGTCTGTTGGGTTTTTTTTCTTTTTCTTGCCAAGTTCCGAAATGATATTCCCTTGCTACAAATTGAGTAAATTAACAAAAGGTGTCACAATACAAAAGGAACAAATATTTTTATATTCGTATCATGCTTTACTGCTTTTCAAAAAACCTGGATGCCATTCTGTCAAGTGTCCAATAATAAATATTGTCTTATGATTATTTTGTATTAGAAAAGAACCCAAGAGTGACTTAGGTATTGATATATGATCCCCTGAAATTCTCCCTTCCAGCAATAAAACCCATACTGAAGAGGCGTCCATTTGGCTGCGCAGAATATAGAGTTCGGTTAAAGTAGGAAATTTGATCTGATGCACATATGAGAAGTGTGCCACGCTCGCTGCACGTTCAAGAACCCTTGCCACAACTCTATGAAGTGAGTTGTTGACCGGCCAATTTCTGCCCTTTTCCAACATTTCCTTTTTTCAAGTGGCATTCTAAATACCCCGCCATTCATCATAGCAGACTAACTTGGCAGAATCTGTTTACTGGATTGAGTGTTTTAAAAGTAATTCTCGCCCTAAATATGCATGAAGAATAAAGACGTTAGCCTTCAGTATACTAATCAATATATCTATAAATCACTTGATGACTCGTGGTAAGAGTTATTGAACTATTGTCGGTTTTTCTTCTTCTTGTTTTTTGCTTAAAATAATATTTAGTTGGAAGTACATAATTGTTATCTCCCTTTAAACACAATTTTGTGAAATACTGATTAATTAATTTTTAAACGTCCTGTGGCAAGTATTTCATAATATTAAAAGACGACTCTCTTTTTATTTATCCTCCTGTTATGAATTTAAGATAAACAAATAATTAAAGCGTTTTACTGAGGACTAAAGAAAACCAATTCGCTTGTCAATATGATGCAAACACTTAAAATATTGTCTTTAGTAGTTTTACAACAAGAACTAACATTTTTTTTTATCATTGACATTTGAAAGCTGACTTTCTTAATAAGTAAATAAATGAATAAATAGATCGTCTCATCTCCCTGTTGTCAAATCAGTGTTCGGCATTAGATGAGAGAACTATAATGTATTTTATTTACATAGAAGTTATAAATTATAATGCTATTGTGTTTCCATTTAAAACAGAATATGACCAGACTTTGTTACTCTTTCTCTTAGCGCATGTTGCTCATCTATTTAGAAAACAAAAAAAAATCATTGTTTTGTAACACAATACTTTTAACTGTACGGAAGATTTGGTGCTTATTAAATCATGCATGCGTGTGGTTTATTATTATATTCTTCAACTTTTGTTGATACACATTACATTTCAAGTATAATATTTTGTACTTTTTGAGATTATTATTACGCCTTGAAAGTTAATAATCGATAAGACATATTTATAGCACTCGAGCTATTAATAGCCTAATTGACCTGGTAGGTCTAATGAACCTGTCAGTGATATTTACCTACGCATGTATTAAAGGCTAAGCCTACAAAATCCAAACAATTTGACAGCGGTGATAATGACGTCTTCTTTATCTGAATTTATTCTTATTTATCTGGATAGTTTCATTTTTAAGTTTGATTTTATGTCCGTAATGTTTTCCTTTTATTGTAGCATATCTTTTTTTTTGTTGGTTTTTGTTCAATTCCGTTTTTATTCCAATCAGAGTAAAGATTTGTGACATCATGCATGCCGTTACCATGGTGAAGCGTCCTTTATAAATAGGTCACAAACCGAAATTATTACTGACTGCATCAGTAAAAAGAAATGCATACGTTCAGAATAGTAAACGTCCATAACATTTTATGTTGTATACTTCTAGACTGAAGTGTCTTACCGAAGTAATTTGAACCGTTGTTAACGGTGTTATTGTAAGTGTCCTGCCGAAGTGACTTGAACCATTGTTAATGTAGTTATTGTAAGTTTCTTGCCGAAGTGACTTTTTTCTTGCCAAAGAAACTTGAACCATTGTTAACGGTGTTAATTATGGTTAGTGTCTTACTGAAGTGACTTGAACAATTGTTAATGATGTTATAGTTAGTGTCTCGCCGAAGTGACTTGAACCATTGTTAATGGTGTAACTGTAAGTGCCTTGCCAAAGTCACTTGAAACATTGTTAACGGTGTTATTGTAAGTGTCTTGCCAGAGTGATTTGAACCATTGTTAACGATGTTATAGTAAGTGTCTCGCCGAAGTTACTTCAACCATTGTTTACGGTGTTAAATTTAGTGTCTCGCCGAAGTGACTTGGGTTTAAATCTCATTAGGATTTGATCTCAGGGAATCGCAATACGATACGATACGAAAGTTTTATTTTGATTCGGTTCACATATAACAGTACAAACATTTTAATCGAATATATTAAATAGCATATACATAACATTAAAACAAAGAACAGGAGATAAAATTTATATGCAGCATATTATATCACAATACAACAGCACAGGCATATGGAAATACATGCAAAACTACAAATCAAAACATGCTAAACATTTGTTGCGCTCTGTTCTGACCAATTCTAGATCTTCAGCGTTAAAATTCTTTTACATCAATTGGAGATCCATTTATAAAAATAAGCTTGCTCAAAAATGGACCTTTGTTTATTTCTGAAATCAGTTTGTTGACTTCAGAATGTATGTGTTTGTGTTGTTAGGTTACTGTCGCATTGTCGTGCATTACTTGATTTGTTTTTCATTTTTTTTTAAATGTAAAGCGTAGAGATCGATTACGTTGATTCTCAAGCCACACTATAACAGTGTCATTTAATTGTGACAACTTAGAAATTTTATTTTTTTTTGTTAATTCTCAATCCTCATTCCTAAGTTATACTAAATCATTAGTGTAATTCTGTCATACAAAGGCAAAATGAAAATAATTCCATTCTCTGTGTCCTCTGCCAATTCATCGGCATTTGATCAAAAATACTTGTCATCGTTTTCAAGATGATTCAAAGGTATAAATACATAATTTCTCATGGTCACATTTTGTTACGACAATGCTATTTACCACGATTGAAAAGATAAAATTATACTGCAATGGGCAAAAAATAATATATTTAAGCATAGATGTACAAACCAATGGGTTTATACATCTATGATTTAAGTCATGATATTTAATGTATATGACTGTATGTATGATTAATTAATTATATAATTTACTGATGTATTTCTGTAATCGTGATGGTTATTTTAACAGCTTCCGTTTTACCCATTTTAACTCCCGTTTAATCCATTGTAAGTGTATATTTATATTTTACACGGTTTATTTCATTTCATACACATTTTGTTATCTTTAAAAAAAAACCTACATACAGACGAATGTCTACCTACATAAAATATCTTACTGGTACGACTGTTGTGATTGGCTGACAAGTCATTGACTGATAAATCTATATCCAATTGAACGAAAGGTTACTTGTAATTTTTAGTCGAGTTAAAGGGGATATTCCGTACTTCTAATGGTATATAAATACAGGTAACTTGTTTATGTGTCATTTCTTAAACGCACTCAACGTTAAGACAAGTAAACAGATAGATCTCGACAATAGACAGTGATTTGGTAGAGATTTAACTTGTTGTAATCATCAAGTTTAGTGCCAAAAACATTAGCTTTACCAAGCAATTTGCTTCAGTAATTACGAATTCTTATTATTAGTGATTCATCTTGGAAAATTAACAATATTTCATTTAGAATCGAGAATATGAAGATGGTATTAGGGATGCAGAAATCACACTATTCCGAGGAGTCATCTGTAGGACATAAGGAGGAGGGCTTAGAAGTTAAAAGTGGCAGCCTTCACATGGTCCAATGCTGTAGTGGACACCTTGTAAAGTTACCAGTATTAGTTCAAGTGTATAAAAACTGTTTCGAACATTATGCTGTTATTTACAGAGACGCTAAATATACAAGTTCAGCTGTATATCTCAGTCTGAAGAATTGTAAAGTGTTCAAATGTGATAATGATAATAACGAGATAATGTTGGTCCAGAATGATATAGATGGAAGTAGTTTAACCCTACAGGTCAACAGTAAGAAAGATGTAAATGAATGGATTTCAGTGTTACAATCCGGGTCTTCAACGAAAGGGTCTGGGTCTCCGACATTCAGAAGAGCTGCTTTGATGCCTGTACTGCAGGAATCGTTAGAGGAAGATAGTGAGGAAGAAGAAGTTGAAAGTTGAAGTATTTTAACTCTTGACTGACTTTTCAACGAAAACATCAAGTTTTCACACAAACTATTGGTGATTTCCTGAATCATGTAGTAATGTGAAGAGAATTTACACATGACTAAGTTACATTCCACTTAACACGTAACTTTCCTAGTCAAAAGGGATTGGAGAATATCTTTTGTGGGTATTGTAACATTTACCGTCATATTGAACTTTCGCAGTGAAAGAAATATGTTGTGTAAAATAGTGACACTATTGTTTGGTGCTATTTCGGTTGTTAATAAGATTAAACACAACGAACAATAAGACTTAACTGTGAATATCAGAATTCCTATTTGTGTAGTGTTCCTATATGGTGCTATGGCACTCTTGACTACTATATCTTATACTTATTTGTACTTATGGCTTAAGTTTGATATCAGTCGCTTTCATCAAGGTAATCAGATCATAAGATGTAAACATTTTTATTCTTTTCGTTACAAACAAACGTAACAATATTTTATTTCTGTATCATTTTGCATTTTCTACGAAAACAATGTCGGTCATCTATCCTCTTACAAATTTGAAATCCATCGCCCACTATCGTTCATTTAGGGATTCCTATTTATATAATTCTTCATTGTTTAGGAATAAAGCAGGTTAATAAGGGTGTTATATGATATAGGAAATGACTGTAGGAGATAAAGACACGAGGTCTACCTGAGTGCAATATTTACCTGTTTATGGAGTGTTTATAGGGGTATATGCGTCACTGCCCGTTATTATAATGGATTGAAGTATTTAAATGCCTACCCTTCTCATGCTCATTGTTAAAACACTCGTCGTCTGTGATATCTATTATTATTTATTTGTTTTTAATACATGTATTTTTATATGTTTTTAATGTTGAATAAAAAGTATGAAAATTACTTTTGTGCTGATTAATTGTTTTTTATATGAATTCAAGGAACAGATAGATTTTCAATTTTCCTTTATGTCGTAATGTTAAAAACAAATAGCAAACCGGGGTTGTTTTAACAATACTCGGAAATTTGTTACAGGAAATCCCCATCGACATACTAAGAACATGGAGAGAAAATAAGTTCCTACTACATACTACACCATAAAAAAACCCGATAATTAGTCAACTGATGTGTTGACGACTATAGTAACTATTTTCCCTAGTCATTGTAGAGACAGAACTAAATGTACTCTTTAATATAGTGTTATAAGCCTATACGAATTATACTGTATACAAAATAAAGGAAGAGATGTAATATGATTGCCAATGAAACAACTATCCACCAAAGTTCAAAAGTGAATGTAAGCAATTATATGCAACCGTACGGCTTTCAACAATGAGAAAAACCCATACCGTATAGTCGGTTTTTAAAGGCTCCGATATGAAAAATATAAAACAATTCAATTAAGAAAACTAACGGACTAATTTATAACAAAACAATTTACGAAAAACAAATATGACAGACATAAAACAACGACAACCACTGAACTACAGGCCCCTGATCACCCTACCCACTTCAACACTGAGCACAATGCAAGCTTTGAAAGTCATGAGATGTCAAAAATGTTAAACAAACCAAGCTATAAAGGGCCCCAAAAATTACTAATGTAAAACCATTCAAACGGGAAAACCAACGGTCTAATCTAAATAAAAAACGAGAAACGAGAAACACTTATGAACCACATCAACAAACGACAACTACTGACCATCAGATTCCTGACTTAGGACAGGTGCAAACAATTGCAGCGGGTTTAAACGTCTTAATGGTACAAAACCTTCACCCTTATCTGAAAAAATAGTGTAACATCACAACATAGATTTGTATTTTAAAGAAAAGAAAAAATATTTCTGTCGGCAACCAACGACAACCACTGGACTGCAGGCTCCTACTTTGAACAGACAGATACAGAAGTGGCTGGGTTAAACATGACTGCGAGCTCTATATCCTGCCCCTAAAACTGGGACAGTGGTGTGACAACAAAACACAAGAACAAACTATAAATACCAGTTGGAAAGGACTTGAAGCACCAAAATTCTATATTGAGTAAATAAACTTCAATATGAGTAATATTATTATATTACACCCGGTTTCTTTATTTGTGGGATATTAAAGACTAATTATTTAGAAAAAAAAACTTAGAAGGGAAATAAAGCTTTAAAAGAACATTTTGGTAGACGAAATTTTTCAAGTCATCTGAGGTTATTTTGTTTATTGAACTTTTTAGTGTACATAATATCCGAAAACAACAGTTTAATATATCTATAAACTTTCATATTGAGATATAAGTTTGTGATGAAACAAATGAATAATAAGATTTTTCAGTATATGTATTGATGACAAACCACGGAAGCTGTTCCATGTAACTTGAGAACAACAAAGTTCTTTATTGTTTTCCATTGCAGGATAAAAGGGATAGATGTTAACATTTATCCAAAAGGCTAAACATAATCACAATCAAAATGTTTTGTTATGTGTATTACTAGAATCATTATTCTACACAAAAATTGCAATTTGGGGATGGAAGCGGGGTGGTGGGGGGAAAATGGACAGATCCTTCCCTGACAGGTTTAATGGGAATTCACCACTGAATGAATAGTCATTGTACAGGCATCCAAATTATTTTAAAATAGAGTTTAAAAAGATTTGATCAATTTATAAAAACATTGAAAAAATGTGAATAATCAAGAAACGGCTCTGATGGCAGTATATTATTTCGCCCGAAAGGAATGAAATGATGATTGGTCATATGATACCTATATTAGATACTTCATGTTTGTATAAGATACACCGTTGAGGACGTTAGTCCGATTAGGCGAATCTAATTTACAAAACTATATTATTATGGTAAATGCAAAATGAAAACTTTCAATAATTTAACAGCGAAGCCTATCAGCAATTAACCTTTATCGTGGTAAACCATGATAAATTCAGGATATCCAATTGCATTTGCTGACATCATTGTGTTAGCTGAAGTTTCACATACAACCACTGTCTGGAAGGGAAACCGGTTTAATTTGTTTTCAGCAAGGTTAAGGTAACATCAAAATTGTCTAATCAGTTTCTACGATAACACACGACGATGTGATTCTAGATGTCTAGATGCATGCATACATGAGTCACTCTTATGCTTTATTTAGTACAAAATATTATATAACGATAAAGACATGCTTTACTAAGTCGTTATACTAATGGAAAGTAATTATATACTAAATAACACAGTATGTTTTAGAATTAAGGACATGAAATCATTATATTCACATCGAAACCCAATTATATGCCAATACTTATCTATTACATATGCTAAAATACTTTGAAGTGAAAATAAAACATAATCAAATCAAATGTCTGCAGTTTTAAATATAATAAACCTTAAAACGTACATATATTTAACGGAATAACTGTCTGTAAGATGCTCTGTTCTTATAGAAGCAACAGTTAACCGTCTGATAATGGATACATGTATGAAAGTAACTTAGGAAAACACAACTTTTTTTTTATCCAAAGTTGCAAATTATTTTATACATTCAAAATTATATGGTGTTGAAAGAAATAATATATAGACTGAAGAGCATATTCATGTCACAGTCTCATGCAAAATGACTTATAATGCAAATTTTGATTGGATGACATTTGCCGTCAATTCCAAGGTTGACGATCGGAGTTATATGCAGCTAAGTTTATACCATTTACTGCCTCTGCTCCGCGTCCCCGGTAAAACTGGATTTGAGACCGTCAAATACCCAATTGATGATCGCAACTATTCAAAAACAGTACAGCTATTTCCAAAATCCAATAAAGTCTAAGCTTGATACCTACTGTCATCAGGATATTTCAATTAAATCTATATACCAGCAAGGGTTGTTAGGGAATATGAACATGCACATTTACACCAAGAAGCCGTTAAATGAAATTAGACACCCGTATTTCTCAACCTTTTCAATAGCATATGATAGCACTGTATCCGACGCGCCAGACCACACGACCACCTAGCCTAGGTGGTCGTGTGGTCTAGCACGTCGGATACAGCCTAGGTGGTCGTGTGGTCTAGCGCGTCAGATACAGTGCAGGCGATTTGGTGTCACGATATCTCAGTAGCATGAGTTCGAATCCCGGCGAAGGAAGAACAAAAAATTTGCGAAAGCAAATTTACAAATCTAACATTGTTGGGCTGATGTTTAGACGAGTTGTATATATATATATATATATATATATATATATATATATATATATATATATTCATACCCTTCCAATTTTTTATACACGGTCAATAGACTACCAAACGATACGTAGAAAACATACAAAAGTATAATACAAATGTGTAAGAACTACAGAAAGTCGTTGAGTGGAACGCGTGGATCATAATTTATTAGCAGATATCATTGTTATAGTTTATGCTATTTGAAGTATTGATGTCATAAACCAGATTGAACTAGTTACATCTGTATCTCCTGGTCATAACTAATGTGTTATATTCCATCGTAAATAATTGATGTCATAAACCATGTTCACCTGGTTACCTCTGTATCTCCTATGTCCTATAACTCTAGTCTCTGTATACTGTACCTGTGTACCCCATTTTATTGGGGGACATTTTGTCCAAGGTTATGGTTGTCTTTCTGATAGTTTTACATCTAAACCCCTTGTTTTATTAATTTTGTATTTACATTGTGTCATAGATCAAATTTATTCGTTCAGTGTATGTTCACTTGTTTTTGTTAATATGTCTTTTGATTGAGTTAAGCCATTTCAATTGATATTTTATAGTGTGTCTTTCTATTTTGTGATGTTACACTATTGTTTTAGGTAGGGTGAAGGTTGGCGCCTATTAAAACGTTAAAACCCGCTGCATTTGTTTGCACCTGTCCTAAGTCAGGAACCTGATGTTCAGTGGTTGTCGTTTGTTGATGTGGTTCATATGTGTTTCTCGTTTCTCGTTTTTTATATAGATTAGACCGTTGGTTTTCCTGTTCGAATGGTTTTACACTAGTCATTTTTGGGGCCCTTTATAGCTTGCTTTTCGGTGTGAGCCAAGACTCCGTGTTGAAGGCCGTACTTTGACCTATAATTGTTTACTTTTTACACATTGTGACTTGGTTGAAGAGTTGTCTCATTGGCACTCATACAACATCTTCTTATATCTATTATAATCATCTTTTATCGTATATAAAGAAATCATGAAATGACTAATTCTAGTATCTGTTCATTACATTTGCAAATCAAACAAAGATGTATGTTCTGTTTATTGTTGTAAGTAATTAGGTAGTTAAGTATACAGAGAAGCCAGTCAATGTCTTGGTGGCCTTTTGTCTCAACCCGGCTTTTGTTTAACTCCCATACAACACATGTTAAATGTGTTTTCATTATCCCTTAGCAATTCTATTTAAATGTTTTATTAGTTATCTATTAATAAATGTCTTATCTAATGCACATTTATATCTGCACTAAATGGTGGTCATATCAGCACTAAATGTAGGTCATATCTACACTAAATGAAGGTCATATCAGCACTAAATGTGGGTCATATTAGCACATAATGTAGGTCATATCAGCACTAAATGTGGGTCATATTAGCACATAATGTAGGTCATATCAGCACTAAACATAGGTCATATCAGCACTAACTGTAGGTGATATCAGCACTTAATGTAGGTCGCTTGATTCAGAAAATTCGGGATGACAACCCCTTCTACTACCGCCCCTTTTTAGGAATAGCCAAGCTGCACACTCTGATATGCAAGCTACTCTTGAACCATATTACTCAAGACATACATATTTACCATCCACATTAAAGAAAATAAAAAATAAAAAATAAATAAACAAACGTTTTGTTTCTTGTTGTTACAATGTGGATGCTACTCGTACTTGTGTATGTGTGTCAAATTACACGTATAAAGGTGTTTCAAGAC